GGAAGTGTTCCAACCTCTTCTATTTTCTGAAAAGACTGTGTTGAATTGGTGTTAATTCTTCTTTAAACATTTGGTAGAATTCTCCAGTGAGAGCTTCTGTGCCTTGAAATTTCCTTTTTGGAGCATTTAAAAATCATAAATTAAAATTTGTAATAGTTACAGGGATATTCAAATTCTCTACTTTCTAATAGGTAAGTTGTAGTAGTTAGTGTTTTTCAATTAATTGGTTCATTTTGTCTACATTGTCAAATTTACAAGGGTAGAATTATTCCCAGTATTCCCTTATTAACCTTTTTTATATCTTCAGAGTTTGTAGTGATATTCCATTTCATTCCTGATATTGGTAATTTGCATCTTCTTATTTTCTTTGTCTCTCACACTAGAGCTTTGCCAATTTTATCTATCTTTTAAAAGAACTAGGCCAGGTGCATGGCTCATGCCTATAATCCCAGGACTCTGGGAGGCTGAGGTGGGAGTTGAGCCAAGGAGTTCGAGATAACCTTGGGAAACATAGGGAGACCCTGTCTATACAAAAAATAATTTAAAAAAGTTAGCCTGAATTGATGGCACACACCTGTGGTCCCAACTGCTCTGGAGGCTGAGGTGAGAGGTTTGCTTGGGCCTGGGAAATCAAGGCTGCATTGAGCCATGATCATGCTACTGCACTCCAGTCAGCTTATTGTGTTACTGATTTTCTCTAATAACTTTGTTTTCAATTTCATTAATTTTTGCTCTTATTTCTATTATTTCCTTCCTTCTGCATGCTTTGGGTTTATTTTCTATTTTTCTAGGTCAATGAAGGAATAGCTTATTGTTTTGACACTTTCCCTTTTTTCTAATGTATACCTTTAATGCTATACATTTCCCTCTCAGCACTGCTTTAGCTATGCCCCACACGTTTTGATATGTTGTATTTTCACTTTTATCCAGTTCAAGGTATTATCAAAACTTCCCTTGAGATTTTATCTTTGACCCATGGATCATTTAGAAATGTGTTTAATTTCCAAGTGTTTGGAGATTTTCCTGTTATCTTTCTGCCATCAATTACTGTGGTTACAGAACACATCTTATGATTTCAATTATTTTAGATTTGTTGAGGTCTATGTTTTGGAAGAGGATATGGTATATTTTAGAATATGTTCCATAGGCACTTGAAAGTATATTCTGCTGTTGTTGGGTACAGTCTATTAGATCCTGTTGGTTGATAGTGTTGTTGAGTTCCTTTATATCCTTGATTTTTAAATTTCTATTTATTTATTTATTTTTATTTGTTTATTTTTGAGATGGAGTCTCACTTTGTTGCCCAGGCTGGAGTGTAGTGGCATGATCTTGGCTCACTGCAACCTCTGCCCCCTAGGTTCAAGGAATTCTTCTGCTTTAGCCTCCTGAGTACCTGGGACTACAGGTGTGTGCCACCACATCCAGCTATTTTTTGTAATTTTAGTAGAGACAGGGTTTTACCATATTGGCCAGACTGGTCTTGAACTCCTGACCTCAAGTGACCCACCTGCCTAGGCCTCCCAGAGTCTTTTTATTTATTTATTTATGGAGACAGGGTCTCATTCTGTTGCCCAGGCTGGAGTGCAGTGGCATCATCACAGCTCACTGCAGCCTTGACCTCCTGAGTTCAACAGGTTCTCCCTCCTCAGCCTTTGAAGTAGCTGGGACTACAGGCATGCACCACTACACCGAGCTAATTAAATTTTTTTTTTTTTTGTAGAGACAGGGTCTCACTATGTTGCCCAGGCTGATCTCAAATTCCTGGGCTCAAGTGATCCTCCTGCCTCGGCCTCCCAAAGTGCTGGAATTATAGGTGTGAGCCACCATGCCTGGCTTGATTTTCTTTTTAATTGTTCCCTTTTCATTAGTTATTTAAAAATACCAAATTGCTGATATAATAGTAATAATAATTGATTTTATTAAGTGTTTATTATATGCAAAACATTCTGTTAAGTCTTTTGCATGCATTATCTTATTATTATTATTTTAAGTTCTGGGACACATGTGCTGAACGTGCAGGTTTGTTACATAGGTTTATATGTGCCACGGTGATTTGCTGTGCCTATCAACCGATCATCTAGGTTTAAGCTCCGCATGCATTAGGTATTTGTTCTAATGCTCTCCCTCCTCTTTTCCCCCATCCCCCGACAGGCCCCAGTGTGTGATGTTCCCCTCCCTGTGTCCATGTGTTCTCATTGTTCAACTCCCACTTATGAGAGAACACATGCATTATATTATTTAATCCTCCCAATAAGCCAATGTGTTACATACTATCATTATCGTCATTTTGCTGAGGCTCAGAAAGGTTAAGTGACTTGATACCAAGATAATACAGACAGTAAGTGGCAGAGCTGACATTACCCTGACATCAGTGTGGGGTTGCCTGACTTCCAACCGTGTGCATATAACACCTATGCAATCTGAGGTTCTATCAGGATCCTAGAAGGGCTGATAAGTTTTCTTCCAGTTCACATTTGCATAAGGATGTAAGTGGTTATGGGGGAAATCTCATCAAGGAGTGGTAAGCAGACTTTAATGTGATCCCCAACAATTCCTGCTTCTTAGTATCTGTCCCTGCATAATTCCTTCCTCTTGAGTATGGGCTGGACCAAGTGACTCACTTCTAATGAAGAAAATATGGCAAAAGTGATATGAGGTCACTTCTAAGACTAGGTTACAAAAGAACCGTAGTTTCCATCTGGGGCCTGTTTTCTCTTGCTTTCACTCTCACCTGCTTTGAGTGAAGCCAGGTGCCATGTTTTGAGCTGGCCTAGGAAGAAGTTTATGTGGCAAAGAGCTGATATCTCTGGCCCACAGCCAATGAGGACCTAAGGCTTACCACGAGCCATGTGAGTGAGCTTGGAAGCACATCATCCCCCAAGGAAGCCACACGTCCTCATGCCCAGGGCTCCAGCTGACACCTTGACTGTGACACTGGGGTGAATGACCTCTAGGCCTCCTTTGTTTCATTTCTGGTTGCTTCCATGGCTCAGACAGAAAATGGAGTGGTAAAGTGGAGGAGCAAATGGCAACCATAATCTGGAGGAGTGAAAGAGGTGTGGGAAGGGTAGCAGAGGCACAGGAATGGCCTCACTCTTCTGCACACATGATGGCCCTATGCAGGAGGAAGGAGGATGGAGAGGAAAGCCTCTCCTCCCAACAATGTATCAGTGGAAATGGAGCCTAATCTCAATTGCTTCTTGCTCTTGCTCCAAAATCAACTGCCCTCAGTTGACAGTCATTGCACATGCCTCTTCCTTTTCCTGTGTACCTGTGGTTACACTGTCCTTCTCTTCCTTGGAAATTTAGCCCAGGTTACAGTGCTGCTGTATATGGCTCCACAGATTGTATGCTATAAAAATCCAGATGGAACCATTCATATCCTATGAGAAGATCTGAGAAGTCATCATCCAGAAATCTTTCCACATTATTACCACTGAATTCTCATCATTTCAGTGCATTAACAAATATTTGAACACCTATTAAGTGCCAAGTGTTTTTCTACATGTTGGGGATTTAGCAGTGAACAAGATGGATGCAGTTTCTCTTGTAGGAGTTGGTACAGGAATAAGATGATAACTACATAATAGACAAAGTAAATTTAGATGTTATAAAGAAAAGGTTGCATATGTTGGGGGTGAGGGAAAACTTTAGCTGGAATGCTAGGGAGATACATTCTCGTGTTCTTCAATAATCTACACGACCATATCCTGTCAACAACAGATGTTCTGTACTTAACTATTTCTTTTTTTTTTTAAACCTGAAATAGCAGACAACATGTTGATATGTATACATTGGGTATTTGATGCAATGTAATAGAGTTAATTTCTTATTAGCTTTTGCATTTGTCCTAGCAGGATGAAATAGGGTTTTAAGAGAATGCAAATTACTCAATAAACTGAGTAGGAATGTTTAGAAAATTTTATTCCTCAATACTTATAAGATTAAGCATACTTTTGTGGTTTTGGTAGTGCCAGAGAGACATTTTGTAAATTCAGTACATTCTTGACATTTGTGAGCTATGTTTTCTAAGACCTAGGAGAGTTTTCAAAGTTACAAATTCCACTACAGCACATAATTTCCCCATAAAACACAGTAAAATATAACGGATACATTTAAATATCTTTTGTGTCTTTAATGGTTTTCTATAAGTACAGGGCTAAAAAATTTGTCGAGGTGTTTTGTGGCTAAGACCCTTCATATCCTTCGACTTTCACTTTCATTACCAGTATTAGCCACCCCTCAACTCCCAAAACTAAAAGTCAAGGTTAAAAAAAAAAACCATGAAAGATACTACATCCTTGACAATGAATAGAAAAGTATCAGAACATACAAAAGTGTTGGCACAAAAGGCTGGCCCACTCTTGGGATAGGGACCCACTCAATGCACTAGCTCAGAGGGCCTGTGACTCAAATGAAGCATTAAGAAAATGAGAAATCACTATGAGTCATCAACGATTAGGGTTACTGAAAAATAACTGAAACTAAGAATGTTAAATCCACAGATGCTAAAGGTCTTCTGGTATCTAAATTACAGACCTATAGCAGGAGGGCACAAGCAACCCCTTGTTCGTCTCTTTATTGTTAGAGCATATGTGGAATGATTTTGAGGAGGAAGTCAAGTAATGTAGAACTTTCTGAGCTGGATATCTTGTAAGAGATTATTTGGAACACCACTGATTGGGTTTTTAGCTGTGCCATATATGCATTGCTAGGTTAGTTCCTAATTTGTCACAAATTCAAAAAGGCTCTGAACTTCAGTTTCTTTCTCTGTAATGAGAGCTGCCAATTCCCACTTCCACGGGCACAGGTGAGGATAAGCTGAGCCAGGGTTACAAGAGGTCTTCATAAACATGAAAGTAGCCCATGGAATCAAGGTGTTACTGTTATTCAATCAGGTATCATTGGTTTCAAATTCCCACTTCATTTGTTAAGCAGAATAAAAACACAGGGAAGCACTGACTAGCTGAAATGGACATTGTGTAAAGGGTTTAACTTACTTCTTTTACAAACCACTGACAAAAGGCAGGACCGATCCATTCTCTGGCATGAATACCACAGTCTATCCAAACAGCTCTTTTGAGTCGTGAACGTCTGCCCAGCTGAAAACAAGAGCATTCACAGTAACCAACTCAGGCTTTTAGATTCACTGACCAGCATAATTTAATAAGGTTTCAGCATAATTCTTCATTATAGTGTGGTTCATTAGGTAACGCATAAAAAGGACAAAGGGAGTTCCTATCTATCTCGAAAGTCCAGGCTTGTTTATGCAGAAACAATACATTTATTGTCCTAATTATAATAAAAGAACCAGAAAGCACAAAAGGGAAAGGAAAATCCCTAAAATAGGTTGCTTCTTTATTTTAAAAATTTTTTTATTTTAATTAATTAATTAATTTTTAATTATTGCTATGTTGCCAAGGCTGGTCTTGAACTCCTGGTCTCTTGCAATCCTCCTGGCTCAGCCTGCTTCTTCATTGTAATATAGTATGTGACTGTTAAGTAAAAAGCTAAGTCCTCCCTCATCCCCTTTCTCTCTCCATCCCAAGGAATAGTTCTTAAATAATAGCTATATTTTATAGGTGGATAAAGTCAAATTTTATTATACCATGAAATGAAAACATAAAACAACTTGATTTCTAGAATCAAGTGGCAGATTTTTCTTTACAATCCAACTATATCAATATTACTTTTAACCTGGTTGCTAGCCGAGAAATCAATAGGAGCTCCTGTCATTATAATTACAGGGGATCTAATTTTAATTCGTTCATTAATTCACTCCACAAATACTTCAGGAAATCTTTTTTAATGTCAGACATTGTGCTTAGTACTGGAGATTCAAACATGAACAGACAAGGAATTTATATGCTAGTGGGGAGGGCAAACATGTAAGCAATCAATCAACAATTATGATGTGAATATCTATAAGTTACCATGGGAACATAAGAGTGTTATGTTGAATTTTCGTAAGTAATAAAAGGTGGCTCCTCAGAAGAGGAGCACTTGAGTATTTCAGCAAGACATAAAGCTTGTTTGGCAGACAAGTTGGAGGAAGCCATGTCAATCCTGGAAGAGAATCTGAGCACACCATATTGGAGGAACTGTGCCTGCAGTTTGAGGAAGGAACAGCAGATAAAGCTCAACGTGGATTCCCTGGATACTAAATAAAGGAGATGAGCTTCCTCCTGTATTCTATGGCGGGCTGTGTCTGTGTGTGTGTGTGTGTGTGTGTGTGTGTGTGTGTTTGCTTGCTCATGTTTGAGGGCTCATATTGTGTGTGGAGGATGGATTAGAGCATGAGAGGGTCAAGAATGGGGGCTCCAAGGAAGCTCAGCAGTGAGGCAACTACTGCAAGAGTCCAGGGAGAACAGACACAGAGAGAAGTCAGGGTAATAGCTATGAGAACAAGAGAAGCAACTGGGGCAGATCTGAAATATTCAGAAGAAAAAATGGTCAGCTTTTGGTGGTAATTTAAAGTGAATAGTTAAAGAAGAGGAACTTAGGATGATGCCCATGTTTCTGAATTGGGAGGAGAGGGATGCCATTCTGAATCTGAGGTGCTTTTCTGAATATCCAGGGAAGAGTGTCAAGTAGGCAATGGGGGTGAATTTAAGGTTCCAGAGGGTGGACTGCAATGGATACAGAGGTCTGGGATGACTGCTGAAATTATGGGCTAGCTGTGTCTATCTAGAGAGTGTTGGTGGTATGAAAGTAGGGCTGAGGATAGAGTCTCAGGGATTACCTGAACCTAAGAAAGAACAAGGGGAAAGGAGCCAGTGAGTGAGACCCAGATGGTCAGAGAGACAGGAGGAGAATCAACTAGGAGTGGCTGCTGGCCTTGGAAAGAAGTTTTAGAAGAGCTGTGGGGGCAAAGGCTGGTGAGTCAAAGTCTGAATGATAGGACAGGAAATAGAGATGGTGATTAGAGGTCAGTCTTTTTAGAAGTTTGGCTGAGAAAGAATGGAGAGCTATAGGTCAGTAGACAGAAGAGAATGCAGGGTCAAGAGATGGATGAGAATAATGCGTAGCTTCTGCATTAGTTTGTTCTCACGTCTCTATAAAGAACTACCTGAAACTGGGTAGTTACAAATAAAAGAGGTTTAATTGGCTCAGAGTCCTGCAGGCTGTACAGGAAGCATGGCTGGGGAGGCCTCAGGAAACTTAGAGTCACGGCAGAAGGCGGAGAGGAAGGAGGCACATCTTACATGGTGGAGCAGGAGGAAGAGAGTGAAGGGGGAAGGGCTACACACTTTTAAACAATCAGATCTCATGAGAACTCACTCACTATCACAAGAAGAGCAGGGGGAAATCTGCCCTCATGATTCAATCACCTCCCACCAGGTTCCTCCCGCAACATTGGAAATTACAATTTGATGTGAGATTTGGGTGGGGACACAGAGCCAAACCATATCAGCTTCTTACACATTTATATAGTTTTGCGTTGGTTCATCTTAAGCAGCACCAACTCACAAATACTTCGCATCGATAACTGAAAATGTTAGCAACAGTATTCTCTGGAATATCCAATGGCAAAAATGAAATATGGCTCAGAAACCTAAGGGGAAATATTTCTGAGATTATCAGATGATGTTAAATATGAGACTCTATAAAAGATCATTTCATTTCTTTTCCCCATAAGTCAAAGTTGAAAAAGATGAATATTTGGTAAACATTATGTATTTACATAGCAATTGCTTGTTTTTACCTTTAAAATAAAAAGAGATCTTCCCTCGTATGATCTTCCAATAGAGAACATGTGAATGAGGCCTGAGTGAGTTTTATTCAGATGATGCATCCAATTTTGAATCTAAGAGCAAATAAATAAAAACTATGTTAGACTCTCTCACAATAATGGAGCTTCTAGAGAACAAAAGGAAACAAAAAGACAACAGTAGGTCTTAGAATTCAAGGAGTGCACATGGAATATAAAATTGAACAAAAACCTACTTTCTATTTTTAATTTTCTTTGGGATACTTAAAATTACATTTAATTTTCTGCCTTTACAGATAGTAGCTTATGGCTTTATATTGTTCTTCCATTATCTACCATATATCATTAATATACTAGTTACAGATTTTTATTAAAAATTGATGTGTTCTGGTTTCTTTTTGAAAATCAGAATTTATTTCTATTTTCCACAAGTATTTAAGAGGAAAAGAAATAAATCAACTTTAGGAAAACTGTCCAAACTACTTGAAAGTGTTTCTTAAAGTCCCATATATTACAATTTGCCACTGAACAGAGGATGCTAAGAAAAAGACATTATCTTTTTTCATTAAAAGGTTCTTCTACTGAGCTACACATCAGAGGGCAAACTCTGAATAATTTCTCCAGTGATAGTGACACATTTGCATTGATCCATTCATATACACTTACCTGTCATCAGGAAAAGATACATTTGAATGAATAAGGTGCTTCATTTCTGACTTAAAAGCCTTATAAGGTGTAAAAAAATAACACAAAAGTGTCCTATCATTTTATGGTATAAAAGGATCAATGTTGAAAAAAATAGCTAAATATATTCAGGAAAGCACCCATACATTCTTTTCTTTCTATTCGTATTTAATCTAATGAGCAGGATGTTTGTGTGTGTGTATATACACATACATTATGCATATCTATATTATATTTGTAAAATTTGACTTTTTTTAGTGCATGTTAGCAGTACTTCTGTGTGCAAAGTTATCTAAAACCTTTCTATTGCTTCTAAGCTTCAAAACATGTTGAGACATGAAATATGTGGAGATAATTTTGAAAGGAGAGTTGTCATCAAGAGAACCAAAAACCGTCTTAAGAATAGAGCAGCATCTCATTTATTTTATGTCTGGCATTCCTTTGTTCAATTCAGAGGAAGCATGGAAAATGTATGATTCATTCATTTATTCCTCTGTCAACAACTGTGTATTTGGAGGTCTCTATTTGCCTGCCACTGGGGTTATAGTGGTGAATAAGAAAGAAATGGCCTGCCTTCATGGAACTTGTAGCTTATTAGGGGTGAAAGGCATTAATAAAATAATCACATACTGTGATAGTTTTTAATTATGTAATTATGTGATTATTTTATTAATGCCTTTCCCTGTGCTATGGGGGCATGTAATTCACTGGGTGTTGGTGGAGGAGGGGTTTAAATCCAATATAGGAGAATAGGAACAGCTACCTTTTTGCTTAAGCTGAGATTTGCAGAACAACAAGCTGTCCAGGTGAATAGTAAAGGATGAGGCAGTGTGGATGAGGGGGCTGTCAGTTCTCCAGGTAGGATAAAAACTCATGTTTAAAGGTGCAGAGGTACCACAAATGAAGCTTTGCCTTTGAGAGTTCTCAACTTTGCAGAGGGTGCAAGTAAGGTCCACTCTACTCATCATTTTCTTAAACTCTGGTTAGCTTTACATTTCTTGACTTCTTAGTGGAGGCCATTATAGCTATAATTATAGCAACATTTCCCCACTCTTTCATTGCACTTCCTACATCCTATGTAAAAGTGGTATGGGTAAAGCAAGTGAAATTAAAATTATTTTGATACTTCTCAGATACCGTCAAAGACTTAATAGAGGAGATAAGGTGCCTGGGCCATTTAAAAGCTACACATATTCTTCACATAGTACCTTCTCTGTCTTTATGCTTCTCCCCCAGAAGCATAAAGCACATCATTTTCTCCCTTAGACCTAAATGATAAAGACGCCTCTGTAAAAAACCAGAAAAAGCTCTTTTGATTACATACCTCTTCTAAGGAGTGATAAACTTCATAATTATATCCAGAGAGGGATCTTCGGTTTCTCTGGGTTTGCAAGTTGCTTCCCTTCTCTAGTGTTTTCTGAAGATCTTCTATGAGGATCCTGGATTTGGAACGACAGACATGATGAAAAGTAAATTGAGATATTGCAAAAATCAGGCAACATCCAAAGAAAATCACATGCATCTATGTAAAGAAAGACTGTGGTGATCAATATTTCTAAAAATACCAAATGTTGGGAAAATGTTATTTTTCAGGAAATGAAAACTGTTACATAAGTGGTGTAATGAATTTAAAGTGTAAAATTATAGGCAGATGTCCTCCAGTGACAGTAGTAGTAACAATAGCTGTTGATTCACAGCCACAACAACCGAATGATGGCTACGAGCGCTTAGATTTACTGAGTACTACTTACCTACCAGCAGCCAGGCACTGTGCTATGTATTTTATGTACAAAATCTTAGTTAATAGCCCTATAGTCTATGTGGTAGATTTTCTTGTTATTGGTATTTTTAAAATGGGGAAACTGAGTCTCAAAAGGGTTAAGAACTCACCAATATCACTTTTCTGGTCAGTGCCATGCCAGAATTTGAACTTGGAAGGTGAACCCAAATTCCAATCTTGAGATTCTAGGTCCAGGGTCATTTCATGAAAACTGAGCCTAGGCTTCTCTTCCGTGCCCTCACCACCTTCTTTTTCCTGCTGCTTCTTCCTGCGCACATCCCTTCCATCACCAAGAGACTGTGCTCACGTCACTACCCAGCACCCCTGACCCAAGACAGAGAGAAAAGGGAAAGGGGAAAAGAAGCTACAGTCCTCAAGAGGAAACTGAAGAAATACCCAGAGTTGGAAAAAGTGATTTCACTACCTGCCAGTGTCAAGAATGCCAAGAGAAGAGAAGCTCAGCCAATTATAGTGAATGCATTTGGAAATTAAAGGCTGAGGCCAGGGCGGGAGATTCCAGGCTTTGTGGAACCAGCTCCAGGTGGAGTCATTAGTGTTCTTGATGTGACATGTGAGTTAGATAAATACAGGCCTGTCTTCTCAATGCTCACCAGCCTCCACTAACTAGAGTTCCACACGGTAGCAAAGCACTTCAGTCATTTGCATTACTTAAAGATGTTAGAAAGCCTCCCAGTGATTTTACTGGGCCTGGCAGGTGGCTAAAAAGCTTTGCTTTTGTATTTTATTTTCCAAAAGAACCTGTTGTTTAATGGTTTAAGTGCTATTAAAAGAACATATAATGGCATCTTGAAATAACTTTCAAGGCTGAAAGTTATTTAAAGCCTTTAATATTGTTTTAAAAATTATTTTTAAAAATTATCTTGAATCACCTAAAGAAATATTTTCCATTCTGTGAAGGAAGTAAATTAACTTAGGGTCATACTGGGTATAGGACATTCTTTTTCATTTATTTATTTGTTATTTATTGAGCACCTACTATGGACAAAGCACTTAATCAGGAATTGATCATTGGCTTACTGCTTTTTTTGTTTCTATTTTTGATTTTAAAATTGAAAACATTTTAGAAATCAAGGTAAGGTGAGGAGGTTCAAAGCTTGGTTAAGTCCCTGACGGCTGCTTGCAGTGGCTCAAAATGTCAATGGGAGGTTGTTGTTGGTTTGAACACCATCTGTATTAGTGCTTTCTTTTTTACCCTCAAACTAAGAAGCTACAGATGATTAGGCTCGTATGGGTTAAAGAATTTTACAATATTGCTTAGGTAAGTCTTGAGCCAAATGAACCTCCATGTCAATTTTCTAACTTCCTTGTGTTAGGAGAGAATCTGGGATGGTCAAGAGGGATGCGAGTTTGACTAGGGCTGGGGTGGTTACAAATTGTCAACGTATTCCAATACTGCAGGGAACCTTCAGGTATGTTTCCCTCACCAAGATCATCTATTATTTCTCCTGGCTACTTTTTTCGATCCCAAGAAACTAAGGGAAAAAAAATGTAGATGGATTTGCCAAAGGCAGAAATCTATACTAGAATCTCCTTCTGAATTTCCAATTGTTAAATTTTGTGGTACTTTGTTATGGTGGCCCCAGCAAACCAACCCAGGTCTCTGTTCAGTAACTTACATTGCACCCAAATGCAGGCCCTAGATCAGCCTTAAATTAAAAAATAATTGTGACACTGGAGGTCAAGTCCCATTTTCCTTGTTAACTAGTTGACTAGAAACTAGCATATCCATAACAAACCTATGAAATGGAGTCTCAGAATGGTCTTTGTAAGCTGTTGTAGTTTCTTACTTCTTCACAGCCTGTGATGATTCCTACTCCAGTTGTGTATATTCCTGTAATGGTGACTAGAACTATTATAAACTTTCTGAGTGATGCCATTACTCAGTACAAAACCACCTCCTCAAAGTTTCCAGGGTGGGGAGGGACCCTCAAAAAATAGAATTTTTTTTTTTTTTTTTTTGAGGAGTCTTGCTCTGTCACCCAGGCTGGAGTGCAGTGGTGTGAACTTGGCTCACTGCAACTCCACCTCCCAAGTTCAAGTGATTCTTGTGTCTCAGCCTCCCGAGTAGCTGGGATTATAGCCACGCACCACCATGCCCGGCTAATTGTATTTTCAGTAGAGACCAGGTTTCACCATGTTGGCCAAGCTGGTCTTAAACTTCTAACCTTAGGTAATCCACCAGCTCAGCTTCCCAAAGTGCTGGGATTACAGGTGTGAGCCACCACGCCTGGCCAAAAAATAGAAATTTCATCACCAGCTTTTACAGGTATTTACTTTATAGAATGACCAAAATGTTTTATGGTAGAATGAATCATTCCTTAGAGGGGAACTGATCACCTAGGGGCCGGACACATGGAGTCACATTACCTCCACTTTAAAAATCACTATAGCTATACATTATGTATTCTCATACAGAGTAAATGACAATCTTTTGAAAATACTCCAGGCTACAATACTAAAAGTCAATTAAAATGATCTCTACCTACTGGGCCCATGGAATTTAATTGACTCATATGTTATTATCTTGAGACCAACGAAATGAATAATTCTAAATGACTGTTCTCCATGAAGAGGCAACTGATTTAAAACACTCATTTTTTAGACTTTATTCTCTGTGACATGAAGTGTGATATTTTATTCTATATCAGTTTCACATGACCTATATTTAATGACAGGAAATAGAGATTTGTTAAACTAACTGGTATATTCTTTTCTACTGAATAGTAATTAATGAAGCATGTGAGTGGTTACTGAGCACCTATAGATATAATTGCCAAGCTGTTTCCTGTCAGGCATTCAGAGAATCAGAGTAGGCCTTCAAAGCTAGAGCAATGACTAAAATGTGTCCAGTATGAACAATAGTTTTATGCACAGCTGTGATTCTATTCTAGAAGCACAGATAAAATACCTTTCTGTAAAAAGCATATCAGTACTTTAATAAAGCTGTAAATATCCTTCTGGCAGGGCAGTCTCTGTGTGGACCAGAGATGTCACTGCCATTTGGCACCTCTTGGCTCAGCCCTCCAGAGAGCCTGGGCCCTCACTATTAACTCACAGAGCCATCAGCCCACCCTAGGTCCCAGGCCCTCCCAGACCCCCAAACTCTGTGCCAGTTTTGACAGTACAACTACTTGCTAAAAAGTTTGGGTAGGTGGAGTAGTCACTTACACTCATGCCTCTCAACCCCAAAATCTTAGGATTCCCAGCAAAGGGTAAGTGACTCCCTTCCTCTCTGTCTCATCTCATTAAGTCATCACACTGCACTTCTCCTAGATCTTCCACTGACGTCCCTTCTCTTCTCCACCTGCTTTTCCCTATGCCCGCTGGAGTCTCCCTTCCTTTGTAAATTAACTTCCTACATTCTCTAGCCTCTTCAGGGAACTCTTTTTTCTCATCAGACATTTGACTCTTTAAAGGATACACATTCTTTTGTGGCTTTCTATTCCCAGTCTCCCTCTCCACCTGCCTACCGTGGGGTAGAAGGGAGGAAGGTCAGCATATTCTCCTGTATGCCATGAATCTTCTGGCTTCCAGGGAACGCTCATTCTCTCTGCAACATCATGCCACTTCTTGCTGCTTTCCTCGAACTCTTGGCTCTGCCTCGATGTTCCTGCCCCAGAAGTACATTTTCTCCCTCCTCCTCTAATCTTGTCATCAGCCAAGGAGATTCAAGATGATTCTCTGGTGATTTAGGTCACCTATTCTTGACTGCACCAGCCTCAAAGATATCCACACAACACTCCCCTTCAATAATCTCTATGGCTACCCTGTGGATCTTGTCACCAGCCATAAACATTCTACCCTAGCACTCTGAGCATCCAACTACTCACATTTTGTCAGAACTTCTTTCCTTCCCATTTGTTTCCCTCAGTAACACTACATTGTTTTCAATACAAAGACCTTAATATCTTCCCTGATTCTTCCATTTGGTCCCCTTATCCCTCCTAGATGCTCCTGCCTTCCAATCCATATTAGACCCAGGGATGAATACTTGAACTAGTATCTCACTAAGAACCTCAACTTTCTTGCCACCCTGACCTTTCCATGGTCCTATCCAACAGAACCTCCACTCTGTATCAGTGTTACAATCTCTCGTCTCTGCAACAACCACTTCTCTTTGTTCATACCCCAGTTTTTCTTTTGGTAATACCCTTTAACCCCTCCTTCCTTACTTTCAGTAGATAATTTTGCTTCTTCATTCATCCAGAAAATTTAGCCATTGGCTGCAATCTTTTTTGACGTGTCCACTTTCCCCTCTACAATCTTAAGTAGATCCACCACATTTATCTCTTTAGTTTTAGAAAATGAGGTATCCTTCCTGCTGTTCAGACACTTTTTTTCCTGCACATTCTCTCTGGCATCATGGATGTCTTCCTCCCTACAGGCTCTTCCCTCAGCCTACAAATACATCAAGACTTCCCCCCTACACAAACAAATCCCAAATCTACCAGGTAGGCATCAGTGATGCATCTCTTCCCAGTCACTTCTCATTCTCTGCTTCTCTTATTCTAACTGCTAAGAACAGGAATAGACTCTGCTGCTGTGTGTTCTCACCTCCTGTTCACATCTATGTCTTCTAGTGCGAACATTCTAATCCACCTTTAGAGTCATCAATGTTCTTTCTATTGCCAGATCCAAAGGAAACTGGTTGGTCCTTTGCTTGCTGGATATCACTGCAGCACTTGGTACTCTGGACCCATCTCTTTCTTTAAAGTCTTGCTTTTCTACTTCAGCTCCTCTGACTATCTTCTACTTGCTCTTTTCTTTTTTTTTGAGACAGGGTCTCACTCTGTTGCCCAGGCTGGAGTGCAGTGGTGCGATCTCAGCTCACTGCAACCTCCGCCTCCTGGGTTCAAGTGATTCTTCTGCTTAGCCCTCCGAGTAGCTGGGATTACAGGTGTGCATCACCATGCCTGGCTAATTTTTGTATTTTTAGTAGAGACAGGGTTTCACTATGTTGGTCAGGCTGGTCTTGAACTCCTGACCTCAGGTGATCTGACCATCTCAGCCTCCCAAAGTCTGGGATTACAGGTGTCAGCCACCGCACCTGGCCCCACCTGCTCTTTTCTTACTCCTCTAACCATTTTTTTTTTTTTAAACTAACTCTCAAAATATCTAAATCTGCTCAAGTTTGTCTACTCAGTTACCCAAGCTAGAAAACTTGGAGTCATCCTTTCACTTCTTCCTTTCCTACTTAACATCCAACATGAGGAGAGTCTGCTCTGACATATTTTTTTAATGCTCTCATGATCCTACTACTCTGGTCCTACTCAGAGCCTCATTCCCTCTTCCCTGGACTAGAGTTTCCTATCCCCTCCACCTGACCCCACTGGCATGCACCTCCTTTGCAATGGGGCAGCACCACCCACAAGACAAAGTCTGAGCTGCTGCCCCTGCACATAAGATTTCCCACCATTGGAACTCCCTATTTCTCCAGCATCATTTCTTTCTGCCCTTTGACTTGCACTTCATACACTAACCACTCTGCACTCATATGCTGCTTCTTCCTTTGCTTGTGTGGTCCCCTCTGCCTCTGCCTGGCTGGCATAGCTCCTGCAGAAAGCCTTTTCCACTCCTGCCTCCTCATCCACTCTCTAGGCCTTGCTAGGCTGCTCTCCTTTCTTCACAGAAAAATGTCTGTTGTTTCACTGATCACTTAGCGGTAACAGTGAATAGTGAAATGAAAGGTCCACATGGTTCCTCCCATCCCCCATTGGACTAATAAGCTCTTCAAGGTGAATATAGTCACATCAGTTTTCCCCATATGAAAAATTGTACCAAACACACTGTCATAAGCGCTTGATAAATAACCTACATATAACTACCATTTGATTCAGTTTAGTACAAACAAATTTTATAGCAAGTGAAAAGGAATGCTTACTTGTACTGGATGTTGGCTTCCTGTAAGAAGGCTAACAGGGCTCGGGAACCGTTTTGGGGGATATGGACATCAGTAACTGTTCCCTCTGATACATAGGAGATACTGCTGGGCTGCCACAGGTCCACCTGTAGTGCAGGAACCAACCTATAATTCATGTCCAACTTAGTGGGGGAAAATCTGTGTCACGATGTCAAACACATTCTTTTGTTTGCATATAGTAACCAAACATATTTTGGAATTAGACTTAATGCTTTCATCATCAGGGTAAAACTATTTTATCTTGAATTTGAGTTTCCAAATTATATCATATCCATATAGAATTTGATAATTGGCATGTAATAGTTTGAAGACCAATAATATTAAAGCTACAAGGTAAAAATGAGATAAAATAGTTATAGGTATAATTTTGATATTGTTTTAAAATTATTTGCCATGCAAATACTTGAAAAATTGCAAGAAAAAAAGATATAAATCACCCTTCATCCTAACACACAAAAACACTGTGGTAGCTGGGGAGTATTTGGTAATTTCAAATGGAACGTTCTCTCATTCTTGGTCTTTTTCTTTTCTTTCTTTTTTCTTTTTTTTTGAGACAGAGTCTTTCTCTGTGACCCAGGCTGGAGTGCAGCGGCGTGATCTCAGTTCCCCGCAATCTCCGCCTCCCGGGTTTAAGCGATTCTCCTGCCTCAGCTTCCCAAATAGCTGGGATTATAGGTGCATGCCACCAGGTCCAGCTAATTTCTGTATTTTTCGTCTTTTTTTTTAGTAGAGACAGGGTTTCATCATATTGGCCAGGCTTGTCTTGAACTCCTGACCTCAAGTGATCCACCTTCCTTGGCCTCCCAAAGTGCTGGGATTAAACATGTGAGCCACAGTGCCCCGCCTAGATGGAACATTCTCTAGATGCCTGTTCTTCCTCCGACACATGCCTTTCTCCAATTCCTACTCAGCCTTCACTTGTCAATATAAACGTCCCTTTTCAAGAAAGACTTGGCTGCTAGGGTAGATCTCCTTGTCGTAGCTCTTAGAGAACCTGGTGCTTCTTTCATGATGTAACTTCCTCTTGCCAGAAAGTAAGCTCTGGGAGGGTGAAGGGTTTGCCTATTTGGTTGCCACCCATCCTGGAACAGTGCCTTACGTAAATTAGCGACTCAGTATTTGTTGCATGAGGGTAGACCTCCCCCTATTTAGTAATTTACTACATGTTCAGTATTTTGCAGGAGAGCAGAAGCCACATCTGTTTCCTTACTATAGTGTCCCCAGTGCCTTAGCCAGTGCTCTGCGCCTGGTAGGAGCTTGGCCTTCATCAAAGGCATGATGGAACGCAGATGGAAGGGAGGAAAGCCCTATCTCTGCAGGAGCTTGGAGCATCATTTCTAATTAGGCACCGTTTGTCTTCACAGTCCTGCCTCTGTCTGCCCCTGACTGCTCTGGGCCTCCCTCTTCCTGCATCTCCAGTCTTGGAGGATGCTGCAGGGCCTTGATCTCTGCTAAGCCCTTATCTGATAAGGTTTAGTTACTTCATCTTCACTTAAGTGTCAGTGCCTGCATTCTGTGAGGAACTCTAGAAGACCAAAAATACTTTGTGACTCAGGAAAATAAACCTCTAATGATACAATTTAGTCTGGAACAGGGTAGAGTGGCTTTTATTTTGGGGACAAAGAGTCTACCTGTTTTCTTTCATGCAGCTGACTCCTCCACTGGCTTGCAAGGGCAAATCTGACTCAGCTAACATGCCAGTCCAACAATCAGTGCACAACAGAAGTGTGAGGCTGGAAGGGATGCTGAGAGGTCATTCAATCCATCTGTCAGCCCTTGGGCAAGGACACATCTAGGACTGCACCAAACTGTCCCCAGTAGGTGTGTCTAAACCAAATCTTTTAAGTCTTCAAATAAAGGAGAGTCAACAATATCCTAATTGAACTCATTCACATTTAACAAGATTGTCAGACATTTTTCTTAATCCCTTCTATTGCAGCATAGTTTCGTTTTTTTTTTTTTTTTGGTGTTCTGTTCTTCAGTGAGGAATAGCTGGTTTCTTGCCTTTATAAGAAAAAGCATGTTGGTATCTTTCACTTTTCTTTATATATTAGATTTTCTAATCCTTTAGAAGATTGAATCTTTGGGACTTGCCTCTAAACCCATTACAGAGAGATTTTTGATATTAAGGATAACAGTTTGCTGCCACCCCTTAATGCCAGTGAATATGAGGAAATTGTGCTGTATTCAGAGGATAGAGAGGCACAGGTAGCTAAAATAATATAAATTACCACCCTGGAGATGAGTCTGTAAGTGCTATTTTCTGAGGGTACATGCTGAAATAAGAATCCTCATCCCACAGAAGAGAGCAGCTTCTCCACAGGAAAGTTCCATGAAATGGACCCTACAGCAAGGCTTGGAGAAGGCTTCCTGGGAAACCTTCTCAGAAAGTGTGCTTAGAAATGTGCTCAGACAGCTGTTTGCCTAAAGGACACTGATAAAAAAGAACTTGCAAAATCAGGAATTCTATTTTGGTGTGATATTATGAAAGTAAATGAAAATGAATTATTGGGTTTTCTCCAGTAATATTTTAAAGAAAGGGTATCTGAATAAGCAGCATGGATATTTCAGTCGGGGTGGTGGCAGGCAGGTGCCTATAGAAGACATACGGGAGAGTAATTACCATCTGAGATTTATAATGTTTCATCTGCTTTATAGAAATCTCTAATCTTTTCAATAACACTTTGAGGAGGAATTAATTGTAGATACATTTAATGAAGGAAAAGATTCAGGTTCATAGAGGCTAAGTCATTTCCCCAAGGTTGCACAGGTACAAAATGGCTGATACAGGACATGCTTCACAGCAGTGCCCCTAATTTACTGACCTGGTTCTTGTCTTCAGGATCTTCTGAGAATATGCCAGAAAAATAAGCATCTTCCAACTTCCTGATCTAGCATTTGGGGAGGTCTGGTCAGTAGGTCTCACATTCTGGTCTTTCTTGTGGGGTTATTTGTCCTGTAAATTCATATGCAAGTATTTCAAGGTTCCAATCAGCCCCCTGTGTGTAGGTTCCTATCAATCATTTCCTTAGGGCCTGATCACATCTGGATGAGATAGTTAGTAGTTCTGAACTGCAAAGCTGTGTGAGTCTGTGCTACAACATAACAAAAGTATCAAGAACCTTATCAGGGTGGTCCAAGGCTGTTTGCCAACCATTCCAGGTCTTTGCTGCAAGCAGCCACCTGATACTCCACAGGAAAGGATACTCCCCTTTGTACAGCCTTCTGGCCTAGGAACCTGGTGACTGTTCCCATGTGTTCCTTTCCTCACATGATTACTAGTGGCATATATATACAGACATGTTTAAGAGGCCGAGGTATTTCAGTGTCATGCTCAATCTGACAGCCATGGGCTGGAATCCTAGCTCTGGCAGCATCGGCTGTGTGGCTTACGGGAGGCTTTTAACATTTCTGAGCCTCAGTATCCTCATGTGTACTGTGAAGATAATCTTAAAAACATACCCAACAGGCTTTCTTGGAGGATTAATTGGAATCACAGAAGCAAAATAGCAGAGGGTCTGTCATATAGCAGGAGCTCAAAAGACAACCAGTGTTTATAATTATTGCTATTTGAAAAGCATATGAAAAGAAAGACTGGTTGGAATAAGGACAGAGTTCAACTTCGTGTGGTTAAGATGAAGAACGTGGTGAGATTGTGTCCCTATTCAGAGATTAAAACCTAGAGATGGCTTTAGGGGTGTGGGGGCAGGAAGCAATAAATAAATGAAAAATATAAACAATGCAGGAATGTTTCCTAGCACAAAGTCAAATGGCTGAATTGGAAGCCACTATAGTGGTGGTAAATTCTATAGGCCCTGGAGTCTGACTCCCTAGGATCTGGTGTAGTCTCCCATTTAGTCTCTGTGTGATTTTGGGCAGGTTTGTCAACTTTCTGGGCCTTGCTTTCTTCTTTGGTAAATTGAAGGTGATAATTATATCTTCCTTATTGGTCAATATTTAATAATGCTAGTAGTGATAGCAGCAGGAGACAGACCTATTCCTAGGCAGACAGGGATAGGTACCTGGTGAAACCCGACCTTCACGCCAAAGACAGCCTGAAGCCTGAAAACTGAGCTGCCAGTTCTGGGTGGACTCCACGAGCTGAGTGAGAACTTCCTTGATGCCTTTTTAGCTAATTAAATGGTGCTTTTTTCAGGCCCGCCCATGGACCAATCAGCATGATTGGTCCCCCATTCTGAGCCCATATAAACGCTGGACTCAGTCTCACAGATGGCTACCCACTTTCGGGCGCCCTCTCACACAGTGGGCTACCCACTTCGGGTCCCCTCTGGTGTTTGGAGTTTCCTGTGGCTCAACAAAATTTTTCTCTGCCTTGCTCACTCTCCAGTGTCTGTGTACCTCATTCCTCTTAGTCGTGGGACAAGAAGCTGGAACCCACCAAACTACTGTAACACGTGCTCCTGCTCACTGAGCTACAGGAGTGAGAAAAAACTGCTGGCTGTTACATGCCCCCATTTGCCAAGTTGCAGGCACAGGACTGAACAAGCTGTGACATGCCTCCGTTCTCTGAACTGCGAGGCAGTGGGAATGAACAAGCTGTGACACACTGCCATTCACCAAGCTACCAATGGCAGGAAAAAGAGAAAGCCCCCATTTCTTGGGGGCTCAGACCTTGGGACTCCCTGGGCGACAGCTGTAATATCCCTGGGGCTTTGCAGTTGCTGGCATCTCCCAGTTTTTGGGTGCCACTGCATTCCTGTCATCCAGATGCTGGCGCCCAAGGTGGAAGCCTGCTGCAACATGCCTGGTCCAGACGTGGGCTGTGGCAGATGCAGCGGGCGGGCACGGGATCCAGGCTGGGGGACAAGCTGAGTGTAACCTACTGGGCTGAGTGGAGTGGGCCTGGCGGCCTGAGACCTCGGGCAGAGGTCATAGTGGCTGCAGAGATTTCTGGCTGACAAAGTGGCACCGAAGGAATCCTATGATAGTGGTAGTTATTTTTGTTATTATCATCACGGAGATTAGAGAGATTATAGAAAATACAGTGATTAGGAGTATGAATTCTATAGCCAGGCAGCCTGTGTTTGAATCCCAGTTCTGCCACTTGTAGGCTGTTTGACTGCAGGCAATCTACTTAGCTCTCAGCACTTCAGTTTCCTCATTTATGAAATGGGACTATAAATAGCATATTTTAAATATATTTGTTAGGCTTAAATGAATACATACACACAAAGTACTTAAAATAGTCCTGATGGGCCGGCCGCGTTAGCTCATGCCTGTAATCCCAGCACTTCGGCAGGCCGAGGCAGGTGGATCACGAGGTCAGGAGATTGAGACCATCCTGGCTAACACAGTGAAACTCTGTCTCTGCTAAAAATACACAAAAATTAGCCGAGCGTGGTGGCTGGCGCCTGTAGTCCCAGCTATTCGGGAGGCTGAGACAGGAGAATGGCATGAACCCGGGAGGTGGAGCTTGCAGTGAGCTGAGATGATGCCACTGCATTCCAGACTAGGGGACAGAGCGAGACTCCATCTCAAAAAAAAAAAAAAAAAAAAGTCCTGGTGACTTGGAGCATTCATTAAATGATAAATAATTCAAAATTCAAAAAAATTTTCTTTGCAATGAAAAGAAGTCATAATTCCACTGAGCACCAATGTCATGGCTCTTTCTGGTTCATGTGCTGTGCTTACTTATTGGCCTGGCCTACTTCTGAGAAGCACCTGCCTATCTTTTAGTCCAGGGCTAATTACACACCTGGTTCAGGTAGCACAGGATGGGGCTCTCAGTGTCCTCCAGCAGCTTCAGTGTTGAGTCCTATACGTGGATGTGGGAAGATGCAGAAGGTGCTCTGTAAACTTGGTAACAGATGGCTGGCTTCCTAGTTTCCCAAAATAGTACAGAGGCGGACCTTCCTGCTCTATATTCATTCTCATTTTTTGTTGGTTTGGAAAAGGGTTAGGCAGGGCACTTATGTGCCATGTCATAGGATTCTGAGTAAGAAAACTTCATATCAAGTTTGTCTTTGACTAGTGTTTAATTTACATAACCATATCAATTCAATATTAGTTTACATAAAACTTAATATCCTGCAAAACACCTTATTTACTCTTAAAATTCTTTTGGGTCTGCACCCATTTAGCTTTCTTGGATGATCTTTTAGGATCTTTTGCTATGGATTCTTGGAGAGCTTCTCTGCCCTCCAAGTTTGGGTCAAGGTATGTTTGTTGTCTGCTTTCATAGAATTTTTTTTTTCACAGTCCGCAACTTTTAATTATGTCTTATTTGCATGAGTAATTGTTATGAGTTTCCTAGGGGCCGCCATAACAAATTGCAAAAGACGGGGATGGTTTAAAACAATATAAATCTATTCTCTCACAGTTTTAGAGTCCAGAAGTCCAAAATCAAGTTGTTGGCCAGGCTGTGCTTCCCCAGAGGCTCTAGGGGCGATTTCTCACTAGCTGTTTCTAGCTTCTGGTGGCTCTTGGCATTCCTTGGCTTGTGGCCACATCACTCCAACTTACATCTCCATCTTCACATGGTCTTCTCTTCTGTCACTTGCCAAGGATGACTTTATCTCCAGATTCTTAAGTACATTTGAAAATACTTTCTTTTTTTTTTGCAAATTAGGTCACATTCACAGGTCTTGAATGTGGTTAGGACACAGACATGTCTTTTTTGATGACACTATTCAACCTACTACAATTGTCATGTTAATATTTGTTTCCCCCATTCTCTATGACAGTATGGACTGATATATTTTCTTTAAATATATCCTCTCCCCAAGATTTCTCTAGAGCATTTCTAGATTCTGAATCCTACTTCCCCTTACCAGGGAACTGACAAGGTAGTCCATTTGAATTTTGCCCACTCATCCCATTTCTCACCTTACATGTCCTTAATTTTGAATTTTTACTACATTTAGATATAATCCTAGACTATACTGCTTCATAGGTCACAGTACTGTATTATCTTCTGAGGACTGCAACAGTCACTGTAGTCATACAGTTAAAAAAATGCTTATTTTTCACTGTATTATTTTTCCTTGCTCTACTTATTGTGTCTGGAATTGGTGGGTTCTTGCTCTCACTGACTTCAAGAACGAAGCTGTGGACCCTTGCAGTGAGTGTTACAGTTCTGAAAGATAGTGTGTCCGGAGTTTGTTCCTTCAGATATCCAGATGTGTCTGCAGTTTGTTCCTTCAGATATCCAGATGTGCCTGCAGTTTCTTCCTTTAGTGTGGGTTCGTGGTCTTGCTGACTTCAGGAGTGAAGCTACAGACCCTTGCGGTGTTACAACTCTTAAAAGCAGCGCATCTGGACTTGTTCATTCTTCCTGGTGGGTTCGTGGTTTCACTGGCTTCAGGAGTGAAGCTGCAGACCTTTGCTGTGTTACAGCTCATAAAGGCCGCGTGGGCCCAAAGAGTGAACAGTAGCAAAATGTATTGTAAAGAGCAAAAGAAGACACTCCACAGCACAGAAAAGGACCTTAGCAGCTTGCCGCTGGTTAGCACGAGCAGCCTGCATTTATTCCCTTATCTGATCCCACCCACATCCTGCTGATTGGCCTATTTTACAGAGAGCTGATTGGTCCGTTTTGACAGAGTGCTGATTGGTGCCTTTACAATCCTTTAGCTGGACACAGAGTGCTAGACAGAAAAGTTATCCAAGTCCCCACTAGGTTAGCTAGATACAGAGTACTGATTGGTGCATTTACAAACCTTGAGCTAGACACAGGGTGCTGATTGCTGTATTTACAATCCTTTAGCTAGACATAAAAGTTTTCCAAGCCCCCACTAGACTTAGGAGCCCAGCGGGCTTCACCTAATGGATTCCGCACTGAGGCTTCAGGTGGAGCTGCCCTGCACTCCTCAGCCCTTGGGCGGTAGATGGGACCGGGCGCCACGGAGCAGCGAGCGGTGCCCGTCCGGGAGGCTCGGGCTGCCCGGGAGCCCACCGTGGAGGGAGGGCTCGGACATGGCGAGCTGCAGGTCCCCAGCCCTGCCCCGCGGGGAGGCAGCTGAGGCCCCGTGAGAATTTGAGCACACTGCATGCGGGTGGGCAGTGCTGGGGAACCCGGCGTAACCTCCGCAGCTGCTGGCCCAGGTGGTAAGCCTCTCACTGCCCTGGGCCCGCGGTGCCGGCAGGCTGCTTTGAGTGTGGGGCCCGGCAAGCCCGCGCCCTCCGGGACTCGTGCTGGCCTGTGAGCGCTGCGCGCAGCCGAGGTTCCCACCCGCGCCTCTCCCTCCACACCTCCGCGCAAGCAGAGGGAGCTGGCTCCAGCCTTCGCCAGCCCAGAGACGGGCTCCCACTGTGCAGTGGCGTGCTGAAGGGCTCCTCAAGCGCTGCCAGAGTGGAAGCCGAGGCCAAGGAGGCGCTGAGAGTGAGGGCTGTTAGCACATTCTCACCTCTCATTATGACTTGCCAAGATTTCAAATATTGGTGGGCTGCTGACAGGGAAACTTGGCCAAAGATTATGGTCTTCTGTGAACCAAAAGTTCAGGTTAGGTTGTTGAAATTCTGGGACTAATTTTATTAGGCCCATCCTTTCTTTCCAACCACAGAAGTAATTTGCAAATCACTTTCCTAAAGCATAGCCCCAATAATTCCGACAAAAGACCCTGGAAATTTAGGCAAACTAAAGCTCTGGTTGTTTTGTCATTAAAGAAAAATGAAAATATTTCAACTAACAACTAACTAGAGCATTGAAATTATAAAAAATTGGTGGGGTCCCAACAGCGAAATAAAATTAGACCAGTCCAAAGGAAAGCATTGCTTAAGAATATAAATTTCAGTATAATAGAAATTAATGCCACCAGCCTGAGTACTAGTTATAAGTCAAGCATTATTCCTACAGCATTAGTAAAGGTAGAAGTTCTGGTAAAACTCTCTTTTGGTGCCCGTTTCCCGTTTTCCCCTTAATTCTCTTCAAGGCTGAATGCTGATTGCCATAATGGGATAGTATCTCTCATTTATCAAAACAAAGCACATGTGTTGGAAAAGAAAAAGACTCTTAATATTTCTCTGAACTACTAATTGATACATCACCAATCTGAAATGATTGTTGAAGCCCATCAATCAAAAAGACTGTCAAGACAGGTCATTATCTTAAGTGAAACATCTCAAACAGAAAGTTAAATATTGCATGTTCTCGCTTATAATTGGGAGCTAAATAATGCATACACAGAACATAGTGTGTGAAATAATAGACATTGGAAACCCAGAAAGGCAGAGGGGTGGTGGGGTGAGGCATGAGAAATTACTTAATGGGTACAATGTATATTATTTGGGTGATGGTAACACTGAAAGTCCAGATTTCACCACAATGCAATATATCCATGTAACAAAACTGTAATTGTATTTCTTAAATTTATGCGACCCCCCTCCCCCTCACCTTGCTCATTAGCTTGTTGCAACGAGTGGGGGCAACACAGCAGGGGAAACAACAGACAATCTCAGTAAGAGAGACTTAGAAAGGACTTATTATGGAATTTGGATTTGCTTTAGGAGATTTGTGGAGGGCTTAAGGAACTGAGGTTTTTCTGTGGACTGAATGCTGTGAGGAAGGAGAGTAATTCTGTCATTTGATATTTTAATACTTTTATCTAGAAGGTGGGAGAAACAAAATGGGTCTAAAACCATAATTGATAAAGGAGTAGTGGTCACTGACATTAGCCAGAAAAGGGGTAAGCTTAGTGATTTTTCTGAAATAGACAATGTCTTTTTTCTTTCTTGGTCTGTGTTTAGACATGATCACAATGGTCTTGTTCTTATTTCATGGTGAACATAGGGTGGCCCTGTCTAATGTTGGTGTCCTGTGAAATGGTTTATGTTCAACAGAGGAACATTATAGTCTTGCTGTGGGAGCTGGGCTGCCTCCTAGGAGCACCAAAGTTCAGGTGTTAATGCCAGGCTGGCTCTTCCTTTTTTCAGGGTAACCACCATTCTCCTGAGGCTGTGTGACAATTAATGGTATGACAGGATGGGTGGGAACTCCCAGCACTATCAGGCCAGGTGGTTGGGAGGTGATTTAGGGGCTATGGGAGGAAGATGCAGGCCTGTGCTGGTCCACCCAGGAGAAATTACGAACCCAAAGACCCCGACTTTGGCACCCTGCATCTTTCTGTAGCGTTAACACACCACTACCCTTTTCATATAAAAGAGCCAATACCACCTTACTTCCTGCCCTCTAAGTGAACATTAGATGACTTATAAGTACTAACGAAAGGTTTCTGACTCCTACGTTAGAGGTTTTGAGAACTTAGCAACCCCTCAGGAAACCTATTAGATAAGGGAAAAAATAGTTCACTACCTTTTGCTAGTTTAAAATAATCCTCTACCTGAAATTCGAGTTAGCATTTTCAGCCTGGCTCTGAGGTAGAATAGATGGAAATAATCAGAGATCACCTGGCATGACCCATTAAGAAGTACATTGGAAGACAAGAGCCCCTGGGCTGTATCTCATCAGGTAATAGAGATTTTCCTCTACTCTCTTTTGATGACTTATAATCTTAACACTGATGACCTCTCCGTGATATTTGATCACTACATTCAGAAGTATTCCATTTGGTGTTCTCAACAACAGTATGGTATTGCATTTACACTTAAAAATTCTGGCCCTTTTCTGAGGTCTAATATTTGATGAAATGAAAACCTGAATTACTTTTGGTTTTGTTATGCATTTCCTCTTTCAGCAGTCAGCTTAAGAATTCTTCTGTGTATTAACCAAAAAAATCAAATAAAGCTCACCTTTGGTTTAGTGAAAAAATATTCCCAACTTGGGAAACAAAAGACATGGTTTCTTCCTGGTCCTATGTAAACATTGATATGTTACATCTCAGAGCCTTAATTTTCTTCATTACAAATAAAGCGGTTGAACTACATGATTTCCATGTACCCCTTAAACTCTATAATCATGCTAGACTCAATGTGCTTTTTTGAGCATAAAAGTTTACATTTCCCTTGGAAAATATTTCTCAAGTTCACCCATATTTGTCTCCCTACTTTGAAGGTCAGAAAAAAGACTCTCAATAATATAGCACCAGAATCATCATTCAGTGATCAGTTCTATTAAACCAGATAACTATTCCATTTTTAAAAAGTTAATTTCAACCCCTTTGCTGAAAGCACTTTTTCATAAGAGCTAAGAAGATGAAATGGAAATCAGTACATTGTTTTTTCTTCCATTTTCCTTCACATTAATTGTCAGCTGATGTGAAAAGCCAGTGAAGAATCCCCAGGGTGGAGGGCTGGCTGAACAAGCCGCTGAATCATCTCTCTGTGAACGTGCGGAGGATCCGGAGATGATTCTGTCTCTCAGCTGTCTGAGAGAACAGGCTGACTTCCAAAAGTCACAGCTTTGGTAACTCCCCCACTTCCCCCAATAAGCTTTTATTCACTGTTTACTGAAAGCCTGAAGAACTTCAGCCATTGAGCTAAGTGCTGAGGGCACAACAGTGACCAAGACAGCTCTGTCCTCAAGGACTAAGCAGATATGGCATGCAGTGTGATTAATCTACAGAGAGGACACAGTACTGTTCAGATGTATTTTGAGAGGTAGTTTGGGACACCTTCCCAGGAGAGGCGTTGTTTATGCATACTACCAAATGATGAGCAGGAGTTGGCCAGGCAAAGGTGAAGGGAGTGGGAGTGAGAGGCTCCATTCAGAGGCTTCCATGCAGAGGCTGGTTGGGTCAGGGATAGAAGAGAGGAGAGAGAGAGAATGGACTAGGAGTGTTGGCATTTACCTGAGCCCTGTGATCATAAAAGACAAAGGCAGTTATATGAATTCCACTGCTCCATTGTGTCCCAGAAATGGCTTTCTTCAGGGGCCATCATTTCCCCTAGGACTCAGGAAAGACTGCTGATTCCTCCCTTGTTTTCCTATAACCAGTCTAGACACAGACCCTCCAAATTCCCATTCTTTGCCTCATAGACCAATCTGGATAATACTACCATGACTTGATCAAACCTGAGTTAAGCTTCTCTCTTTCCTCCACATCCCTAAACTTTTACCCATCCTCAGCCTGAGCTGGCATTTCAGCCTCTCTGTCTGAGTGTCAGCTGACCTCAGGGTAAAACATTTTCTGATCCACTGTCCAATAAAACCACCACCACTTGTTCATCCCACTT